CCCCAAAACCCCAAAACCCCAAAACCCCAAAACCCCGATTGGCTTGGAAAGAGTTGAAGTGAATATAATTATAATTTAGCTAGGTTTTGTGCTCATTCATCTATAAAACTCTTTGTAATCAATCTTGCCATCTCCGTTAAGATCGCACTCGTCGACTACTTCATCGATATAGTTTATCAGTTGTTCATCAATTTCGTCACCGTCATTCTTCTTAAGAATCTCTTTCAAATCGTGCTTGTCTATCGTGCCATTACTATCTCTATCAAAGAAATTAAAAGCTGATTTCATTTTGGAAGCATCTTTTGTAATCATTTCGTTCATTGTAGCAGCAATGAATTCTGAGTAGTTTATCGCACCATTTTTATCTAAGTCTACGCTTAGAGTAAAATATTCTTAATCTCGGCCTCGGAGAGAGTATCTTTAGTAACTTCTTGCAACTCTTTAACTGTAATATACCCATCATTATTTTGATCAATAGAAGCAAATAGTTCTTTCTCTTGTTTAATGTCATCATCATTAACTCTTGTCGAAAGGTAGGAGAGTATCACCTTTTTGAATTTAGAGTTATGCTGGAATTCTCTTAAACGGGCAATTTGTGTATCGAGGATTTTACCTTTGGTTTTGGCGTTAGCATACTTCTTTATCCATGGATGAGAAAGGCACTTCTTAGAGGAAAGCCGGGTTTTTTCAGATGATAACATTTGAGAGAGCAAGTCCTTTGCTTCATCAGAAATTTCTCCCCAAGCATCATCATCAAACTCAATTTCACCTTGTTGTATTAAATCTATCGTTTCGGTATCATCTTCGGAAGCAAAGGGTGGGTACCCACACAACATAATATATAAAATAACTCCTGCGGACCAAACATCGCACTTGCTGCTATAACTGTGATTTATAACTTCTGGTGCCATAAAAAAGAGGGTTCCAGCCTTGGTAGTCATCCTTTTTAGTTTCTCTGAGCCAGTAGACCCGAAGCTCATGAAAGAGCAGGAGAGACCAAAGTCTATGAGCTTTACTCAAAGCTCACCATCTTTAGACTTCAGCATGAAGTTCTCTGGTTTAAGATCTCTATGAGCTATCCTATTTTTATGACAATACATGATAGATTGCATAATTTGTTGGAATATTTTGGCGGAGATCTCTTCTGTTAGGAACTCTTGTTCTACAATATAATCGAATAACTCTCCTCCTGTGCACAATTCCTGAACAAGATAGATGTTCTCTTCATCTTTATAAATTTCATAAAGTTTAATAATATGAGGATGATCTAAAGTTTTTAATGCATAAATTTCATTATGAAAACGTTTGAAATTCTTAATTTTAGCCTTTTTAATCACTTTAACTGCTCTCTTTTCTCCCGTAGTCTTGTCAGTGCCTAGATAGACAACCCCAAATGCTCCTTCACCTAACGGTTTGTCTGACAGATCATAATTTGAGCGTATATCTCCATTAGTATCACTAATAAACAGTTCCTTATTTTATTATGAATTCACTCATGATCTTCTTGATATCGAAAGCAGCCTTTTTATTTTTCAAACCTTTCACGATTTGGTTTATGCCAAGAAGTTGAACCTGAGTCTCTTGTTGGGGAGTCTTTATTTTCTTCCATTAAATTTAACTAAGTTACTATATAATTATACAGTTATGGGGTTTTGGGGTTTTGGGGTTTTGGGGTTTTGGGGTTTTGGGG